GGGGGGAGCCCTGGGCAGGGGGGAGCCCTGGGCTGGGCGGGGGGAGCCCCGGGTATGGGCCAGACAGGGGCCTGCAGGCCATGCACACTGGCCTCCTCCATCCACACCTTGAAAGCATGTCGGAACATTCTGGAAGGCGTGGACAGTGTCCACCACTAGGTCTGGTGTCACTGTCCTTGTTCTAGAATCTTCCCTGACCATCCCCCTCCCCACCCCCCAGCCCACCCTCGGGTTCCCCACAAGGAGAACAGGGCTGACTGACCCCTGACCGGCCGGAGGGGAGGCTGAGGATGGGAGGCTCTCCGTTGGAGGCCAGTCCTCGAGTGTGCAAGGCCACACCAGTGTGCAAGGCCCGGGACCCGCGCACGCTCCCGCTCGCTCAGACCACGCTCGGGGCCCGGCGTTGTCCCCCAGGAGCTTTGTGCTCCAGGCTGGCGCTCCACCACCTGAGCCACAGCTCCGCTTCCTCTTCTTTTTAATTTTAGAGATGAGTCTCATGGGGACTTTCCTGCCTGGGCCTGGCTTCGAACCACGATCCTCAGACCTCTCCACGGCCCTCCCAAATTAACCCATTCCTCTCCTGCCCCCCCCACCGCAGCTCCACCCCGGGGTGGTGTCTAAACTTGTCATTTCCTCTCGTCCCACCAGAGAAGATTTTCCGAGTGGAAAACTACAACGGAGGGCAGCCCTTCCGCCCGGACCTGTTTCTGGAAACGGCTGAGGAAAATGAGCTGGAAGTGAGTGCTCCCCCCGCCTCCCCCCAAAATGCCTCTGGAGGCTCTGGGCGTCGGCCTCCAGAGTCTGAGGTTGAGGCACACCGCCTCTTCTAGAACCTTCTGGGGATGGCTAACATCCCTTGGCTTGTGGCCCCATGCTTCAAGCACTGCCTCTTAGCTCTGCGCCCCTCCCTGTCTGTCTCCCACCTGTCCTCTCCTCCTTCCTCCCAGGACGTGGGTGACTGCATTTGAGGGGAGGGGTCCCCCAACAAAATTGTCCGAGTTGGGGATTTCTCAGGGAATCGCCTCCTACAAGACCTCTCCCCGTTTAGAAAAAAGAATGCAAGCCAGGCGCCGGTGGCTCCCGCCTGGCATCCCAGTGACTCAGGAGGCTGAGATCTGAGGATCATGGTTCAAAGCCAGCCCCGGGCAGGAAAGTCTGTGAGGCTCTGATCTCCAATGAACCACCAGAAAACTGGAAGTGGCGCTGTGGCTCAAGTGGTAGAGCACTAGCCTTGAGCTGAGGAGCGCAGGAACAGTGCCCAGGCCTAGAATTCAAGACCCACGACCAACAAAAAAAAAATGCAATCGCCTCTTATCTGACAGTTTTGATTTCCCACAAAGTAGGAAATGGACACTTATAGTTTGGTGGTGGGGATGGTTGTTATGGTTTTGCCTCTGGTTTTTTTTTTTTTTTGCTGGTCCTGAGGCTTGAAATCTGTCCCTGAGCTCTTTCACTCAAGGCTGGAGCCCTACCACTTGAGCCACAGCTCCACTTCTGGTTTGCTGGTGGTTCGCTGGAGATCAGAGTCTCACAGACTTTCCTGCCCGGGGCTGGCTTTGAACCACAATCCTCAGATGTCAGCCTCCTGAGTAGCCGGGATGACAGGCGTGAGCTCCGGGGTGCGGCTCCCCCTTTCTTCTGGCAGGTGTACCTGCTGATCAAAAGTTGCTGGGAGGAAGACCCAGAGAGGAGGCCAGACTTCAAGAGAATCGAGAGCACGCTCGCCAAGTTATTTGGGTACGGCTCGGGCGTGGACTTTCCTTCACACGGGGCTGCGGTTTTTGGTTTTTTGCTTCCTTCCCCCATGATCATTTTCATTCGACGGCGTCCAAAGAAGGAGAGTGGCTCTTCTTTTTGTTTTTTGTTTTTTGTTTTTTGTCAGTCCTGGGTCTTGAACTCAGGGCCTGGGCTCTTCCACTCAAGGCTGGTGCTCTACCACGTGAGCCACAGCTCCACTTCTAGTTTTCTGGTGGTTCATGGGAGATCAGAGTCTCATGGACTTTCCTGCCCGGGCTGGCTTTGAACCACGATCCTCCGATCTCAGCCTCCTGAGTAGCTGGGATGACAGGTGTGAGCCACAGCGCCCGGCAGTAACCGATTTGTTTGGGGACCCTCTCTGTGCACGTTTGGTTCACGGCGCCTGCTCCTTCTCGTGCTGGGTGTGGCCCTCAGGGGCGTCTGAGTCGCTCTGCACCCCCTTTCCCCTCCCCCCACCACGCAAGCCTGTTTCACGACCAGAAGAACGAGTCGTACATGGACACGCTCATCCGGCGCCTGCAGCTGTACTCTCGGAACCTGGAGCACCTGGTGGAGGAGAGGACGCAGCTGTACAAGTCTGAGCGGGACCGGGCCGACCGGCTGAACTTCATGCTGCTGCCCAGGTGAGGCTGGCCTCCGCAGCGGCCTCCCCACCCCCGCAGGCCTGGGGCCAGCCACGGCCTCCTCCTCTCTGCACCCCCACTGTTATTTGGGGTGGGGGATTTCCTTCCTTCCTTCCTTTCTTTCTTTCTTTTTTTCTTTCTTTCTTTCTTTCTTTCTTTCTTTCTTTCTTTCTTTCTTTCTTTCTTTCTTTCTCTTTCTTCCAGTCCTGGGACTTGAACTCAGGGCCTGGGCGCTGTCGCTGAGCTCTTCAGCTCAAGGTTGGCGCTCTACCTCTTGAGCCATGGCTCCACTTCTGGCTTTTTCTGTTGTATGTGGTGCTAAGCAATCGAACCCAGGGCTTCATGCACGCTGGGTGAGCACTCTACCACTGAGCCACCTTCCCAGCCTCTTGGGGGTTTTCTTATTGCTATAGATCATTTCTTCTAGCATATTCTCTTTTTTTGTTTGCTTTTGAGTTTTGGTGGGGCTTGAACTCAGGGCCTTGGTGCTGTCCCTGAGATTTTCACTCAAGGCTGGCGCTCTACCACTTGAGCCACAGCTCCACTTCTGGTTTTCTGGTGGTTCATGGGAGATCAGAGTCTCATGGATTTTCTTGCCCAGGCTGGCCTCGAACCGAGATCCTCAGATCTCAGCCTCCTGAGGAGCTGGGATGACAGGCGTGGGCCACACTGTGGGCTCATGAAGAAGGGGGAGGGGGCACCCCAGGTCGGGCATGGCTGCTGGGGGGAGGAGAAGGGAAGGGAATGAGCCATTCTCCAGGCCTGGAGTAGATGTCAGAGCAATGGATGATAGAGGGGGAGGTCCAGCGCTGTATTATCCACGCTGCCCAGCAACCCACATCCGGGTCCTTCCGAGGCCTCGGGGCACCGGGCCGTCCATCGCCCGCCCCTGCGTCCTGCGGGCCCTGGCTCCCCACCGTGTCCCCCCCCCCCAGGCTGGTGGTGCAGTCTCTGAAGGAGAAGGGCGTGGTGGAGCCGGAGCTGTACGAGGAGGTGACGGTGTACTTCAGCGACATCGTGGGCTTCACCACCATCTGCAAGTACAGCTCGCCCATGGAGGTGGTGGACATGCTCAACGACATGTACCGCAGCTTCGACCACATCGTGGACCGCCACGACGTCTACAAGGTGCGCACGGCCACGTGTGGCCACGGCACGTGCCCCCCTCGACAGGCCGGGCCCCCAGCTCCCCACACCCCCATTGTCAGTCCTGGGTCTTGAACTCACCACCTGGGCGCTGTCCCTGAGCTCTTTCACTCAAGGCTGGCGCTCTACCACCTGAGCCACAGCGCCACTTCTGGTTTTCTGGTGGGTTCATTGGAGATCAGAGTCTCGTGGATTTTCCTGCCCTGGACTGGCTTTGAACCACGATCTTCAGATCTCAGCCTCCTGAGTGGCTGGGATGGCAGGCGGGAGCCACGGCACCCGGTTAAGAATGAAATGTTCAGAACTGAATGTAGAGAAACACGACACAGCTTCAAGTCTTCCCCCCACCACACAACACACACACACACACACACACCGAGGCTGGACGTTGTTTAGGCACCAATTTCAAAACAAACAGAAACACCCAAGTTAGAATGACCCCTGTCCTGTGGGGGTTAATTTTCCTGTTTGGGTGAAAGCTACAAAGTATTATTTTTTTTGTGTGTGGGGGGGTCCGGTCCTGGGGCCTGAACTCTGGGCCTGGGTGCTGTCCCTCAGCTCTTCAGCTCAAGGCTAGCGCTCTACCACTTGAGCCACAGC